GTAGCGACGGCCTCCACCCTAGTAGCGACGGCCTCCACCCTAGTAGCTATGGCCTCCGGGCATAGCTCACACCCGAAGCATATCTTTAAGTCCTTAGACTCTTAGACTCTGTAGCTTAGCTGACCAAGTCTTGTCCCACAAATTCTTTTCTCCAACCCACAGACTTTAAGCATGTACTAAGTAGTACATGTTCTTTTGTTCTTTGTCAAGGTCTTAGGCCAGCACACTCATTTATTTGTGAGGAGCAGTTGAGATCAGAGGTCAGATTCGAGGAGATTCCAAGTGAGGGAACTGAAGAAACGTGGATCCATTCACAGACTGACGTCACCTAAACCGGGGAAGGAACATCATCAAATCCAGTTTTGTTTGTGAAAGAGAAACTGCGTGGCTGGGTCTTGAGAACGTAAATCAGCGCAGTTTTGATAGCAGTTCACCGAAATTTGAAGACATGTGCACGGCAAAACGCACCAAAACATGTACCTGAAATGGTGAATTGGTCTTTGGAGACAGTCTTTGGTTTGAGGAGACGCCGGCAGTACCGGAGGTGCCTCCGGTATCGAATGGGTGTGACAAGTGTGTTAGCCCCAGGGGCCCCACTTCTGGCGAAGCTGGGACAATCAAGGGGCCTTCCCTCATGGCGTCTCAAGGCGAAATAGCAAGATGTGAGATGTCACACCTGTGGGCTCAAGTGCTTTTAGGGATGCAATTGGCAGGGGATGTTCGGGGTGTATCTTATTTCAGTTTGTACATGAATGTACAGCTGATAATGGGGACGACACTTGCATGCACCTACTGCCAATGTTGGTTGAAAGACCATCATTTCAATATCATGTGATTGCACCAACGATGTTGTATGGTGCATGTTGTTTGTCAGAGAAAAAAAGAAAAGGAAAAAACATCAGGACCTACTAGTAGCTTCTTGCTCCTAGTCCTAGTAACGATGCCAGGAGCCCCTAGTAGCGTCCTTGCTCCTAGTAGTAAGGCCAGGAGCCCCTAGTAGCGTTCTTGTTCCTAGTAGCGATGCTTTTTGCCCATTTATAACTTGGAACGCATAGGCATAGATGTTGGCTGCACGGGAAATTTACAAGATGCTTTTGCGCAATGTTTTGGCGTAGTTGATGAAGCTGCAAGACACATTTACATTGTGGATAGCAAAACTGAATAAAACTGACCGCGGACAGCAACAAGTTGCCCTGGGGTTCTCCATTTGTCGCTGATGACCAACTTGCGATGTTCTCAGCTGCCACGCCAAGGCGCGCGAGGCGCGCTCGTTTCGGAGCGCCTCCGCTGCTCCGGCGGTGGAGGCGAGGCCGTGGCGGTGTTGGCTTCAATGGGCCCCACATGAGTGTTTCAAGATGTTAGAAGAATCATTAAGTAAATCCACTTGTTTGGACCTATCAATGGACCTAATGTTGGGACGTTAGGACCTTCAATGGGCCTAACTACACTGAAAGCCACTTTCCCTGACCATACATCCATTTTCCGATGCGTCCATGAACCACACTATTACAACTGACCAGGCAACACTACAGCTGGGTGAGACTCCTCGGTGCCAGGACGCGCCGTGGCGACCCTCGGCCCCGCGGGGTGGAGCTACGTCGGAACTCCGGGCGCAAAGCGCGGAGCTGGGGCGGCAGGACGACCTTCGGGAGTGAAGCAGTGGACTGTCTAATTAAATTCTTATTGTTACTAGTAGTAAGGCACTTGTTCCTAATAGCTTCTTGTTACTAGTAGTAAGGCACCTGTTACTACTAGCGTGGCACTTGTTCCTAGTAGCTTTTGCAGAAATGACCTCAAAAGTGACCTCAAATAATCTCAAGAATCAAGAAATGGATTGAACGGAGTTGTCCTTGGAGGCTGCAGTTTGGACTCGACAGTGGACGTGAACTCGGGGCCTAAGGGACCGAACTTGTGGTAATGACAGGGGAACTGGAAAATATGCTTTATGTAGAGAAAGTATATCAAGTACCAGTTTGCACTCAATGCTATATAGGTCTTGGGCCCCATCTTCTCCAGACCTCCAGCACAAATCCGCAGTCCGATGCGGATGGATCATCGTGTCCTCAAGCAGAGATTGTTTTGGCTTAGATTGTTACGTTCGTAGCTTCTAGCAACTAGTAGTAATGCCCTTGTTAGTAGCGATGCCCTTGTGACTAGTCGCTAGGAGTGGGCTTAGATGTTTTCAATGATGTTCAATGCCTTTAAAGATTCCATCAATGGGAGAAGTACACATGTCCCCTGGTTTCTTCGTTTCCCATCTTCTCAGGGGTCTGGGTCACACCGTGCCTTTGGGCCCGACTCCCCGACTGTCGAAAAGGGCGCCTTGCCAGGAGCGATCTCGAGCGAAGCGAAAGGGCCATGTGTGGTCTCCCATGACGGATGCCTTTGAGGCCAAGATGTGCAAGGTGTTTTTAAAGATTTTGTTCTAGATGTTTCAATTCTCCAATATTGAAAAGAGTTGTGTTCACAATTGCAATATTGTATGGTGAGAAATGAATGCATATTATTCTATCTTCCGGTGCAGAATGCGTTCCACATACGTCAATTCCGATGAACCTTGGTCAAGGCAGCTCGGAAGGCGGACGAGGCGGCCCGGGCAAAGGCAGATGTGCCCAAAGAGGCAAAGGACAGGCTGACAAGCTGAAGTAGCTAGAGACATCCCATCCAAAACCCGTTCAGGGTTGGACTGGAAGGACTGTGGGAGAAGAATGAGCATGCACAACTTTCGCTGAGGATATTGAAACCTGCCAATCCGACCCTGCAGCCATTCATCCACGTGTCCATCAAAGTGATGTAGCTTCCGATTGGACCCTCCAACGGGTCGGACAGAGTGTGCCAAACTTGACACTAGTTTACAGCTGAAGGCATCCACGTGCTTACCTCAGATCCTTGACCCTTGACTCAAACTTTACGGAGATGCTCCAGCGCAAACCCAGCCCTCTAGGGGCAGATATTGGCAGATGATAGAGAGAAGGTGAGGATGTAGAGGATCGTCTTGACCACTCGCAGAAAGCAAATTTGCACACCAACAAGATTTTAGTTAAGGTTTTGCAGTAAATTTATATGAATTGAATCTATATAAGCATGTTTGCGGGACGCTCAGCAGTTGAAGTTATTCATTCCCAGGTTGCTTGGGCAAGTCTTTGACACCCCCCCGTTGGTGGAGTCTCTCCACCAGGAGAAGAGCACCAAACCAAATGTCAGCTCTGAGCGGCAAGGCTCTGAAGTCGATTTGAGACCAAACCGGAAGACTCCAGAAAATCCTAAGACCTAGAACACCTGTAAAGGATGCATTTCTAGAGCCTATGAGTTTTTCCTTTTATCTTGAGAGCTGCTTGTTTACAATAACCACAATATCAAGGAATATTCAGTGTACACTGCCATAGAGATATTGTCTAGAGTCTAGGTAGTCACTTAGTCGTGTTCCTCGTCGCTGTGCTTTCTGGGTGGCGGAAGAGGGCAGACTTCCCAAACGGTCTCTCCAAAATCAGTGTTGGCTTTGCCAAATGCCTGGAAGACTGTCCAGAAACGATACCTTTTGGATCCTTTTGGTATAGAAGAACGGGATGGCGCGCTGGCGCAGCAACATTCTCCGGAGGTTAAATGCAGAAGTGTAATTGACCGGCGGCGTGTTTCCTACTCTGAAATCATTCAACAAAGACCAACAGACAAGAAAACCTCTACTGTCAGCCAAGAGGGCTGGATAATGTTGGATCTTTCATGCGGCTAATCCTGGCTCCAACATGATCGTCAAGCCAATGAACTCCGTTGGTCGCAGGCCAAGTGGCTCAACATGAGATCCGAAGCCAGTTGCAAGCCCTGGCCGAGTCGAAACTGTGTCTTGGCACATCGGGGTGGTGGAGGTGCGTGGTGGAGGTGCTTGGCAAATGATATCGGGAAAGCACGACTGAAGCACGCCGATTCTGTATGAAAAAGAATCCTCTGAGATCCTCTGAGAAGAACAGGAAACGCAGGTAGTGATGGCCATGGTAAACTTTGCTATGTCTCATGAATTACGATCAAACATGGATCCTGAAACTAAACCGAAGACAGGTTTTGTTTGCGAACATGCATCAACGGTTGCTGTGACCCTCAAACGGACCACCAGGCGTGCTGTCGAGAACGAGGACTTTGAATTGGCCGAAAAGTTAAAGCATCAAGAACAGGACTGGCAGTGTCTACAATTAGTTGTCATAGTCGATCTAGTCCTTGCACTATGCTTGTTGATAATCCGATCGATTTCCATGACTTGCGATTCTGAAATGATGGTTTTTCTGCGACCACAGGTGCCAACAGGGTCCAGCAGGTTGTCCATCGATTTTCTTTGACTGGGTGAAGTTGATTGAGGCCACATTTTGAGGTTTTCCTCGATCTCAGAACTCGCGTCCCATCCACCACGCTTCTTCTTCCACCACTCAGGTTTCTTTGAGTTCTCTTTGTTTGTTTGCTTCCAGTAAAGAACAATGCCCTAAGATGCCTTAAGGCCAGACTCATGTTGCCACGCGTTGCCTTAAACAATTTTACCGTGCCTTTAATTCGAGGCGCCAAAATGAATCAGGGCGCCAAGATCCGGAGTAACTGTCAGAACTCACCAGGGATCATGGCTGGAAATCATGTAACTTGTGAAGTTGGGTGCCAGATGCAAAGCTTATACTCTGACAAGTGGTAAGTATAAGATAGTAGAAGCTTTTCAACGCCCAAACTTCTAAAAGTTGATTTGCATTTCAGCCATGATTACTGGTGCGTTCTCACAATTACTTGGGGCGTGTTTGGGCGCCCCGAATTCAAGGGTCCTGCACACCCACGCGCCTTTGCGGCCTGTGCGAGGAGCTTCAGCAGCTATGCCCAACCAAGTCTTGGGCCTCTTTGGTGGTGGACCGGATACCGCCGCCGGCCGCCCAGCGCGGTTCCCGTGGCGAGAACACCGTCTTCCGCCGGGGGGTTGGCATGGTGCCCAAAGCAGGCAGGGAAAAGACAGATTGGGAGGACAAGGGGTGAAGATTTGAATTGACCAGAAGTGGTGTAAGGATTGCCAGGATTGCTTGAAGAAACTCACAGTACATATCCCCTCATGGCCCCACAATCAGCTGAATCAACACAAACGCGACTTTGGCTACACATCGGCTGTTTTCGTCCAATCCCATCGACTCATCAATTCCAGGCCCGGCACCCCGAGGGGCGCCCGCAGCACCTCCTCCGGTGTCCGGCAGCGCCGGCGGCTGTGCCGGCGGCTGCGCTGCGGCCATGTCGGCGACCCGACAGGCTGCAGGGAAGTTGGTGTTCGTGCTGACAGCCCCAGGCGCGGGCGTATGCGGACACAGGAGATCTCATGGCTGTGATGCGCATGGCTATGCAACATGCACTGCGCTGTGTTTGGTTGGATGATGTTGGATGTATTCGATTAGGAACGAGCCTCATCATGCCTCATCCTAATTTCGATCCGAACTGATCCTTTTTCGGGTGGCATGTTTTTCCCCAGTGGTGGAACAACTGTTTGGCTGAAATCCGCATTCGCAGGCGAACTCACACCTGAAAGCTTCAAAGCAACGACCACTCACGTGGCGCGCCGAGACGCCCTAGTGCCTGGGAGGAGAATATTTCCACTGGCCGGTGCTTGGGTTGGAGGGGTTTAGAGTTGGAGTCCCTGGTTGGTGCGACAAATAGTTGTTATAGAATATATACACCTTAAGAAGAGGTGTTTTTCTAAAAAAATATCATGGATATTGATACTATATAATATATATATATACATATAATTTGGTGAGGCCGCTGGGATATACTACGCCATATACGGAGTCCCGCCAGAAACAAGACCCTGCCCCACAAAGGTTTGTTCGGCAAATTTGTGCTGGGGTTCTAGTTTGGGAGTGTAAGATGGTACCACTTTGACAGCCATCTTGCATGTAGAACTCAGCGAAGACATCAAGTCATTGCCGCTATTTACGGCTTTTGTTGAGCCTTTTGGTATTTCACATAAACATTGCATATAATATCATATTATAATATTATATAGTTGAATATTATATATCTATCAGTCGCTGTGCCAAACCGCACCAGATACTAGTGGTCTGGAAGATTGCACTCCCCTTCCAACACAGAGCACCCCACACGTCCCAGGCGCGCATTGCGACGGCTGCGCTGTGGAGGGGCCGTGGCCTTCCGTGGGATGATATCCATGAGATTGTGTTGCTGAGATCTCGAGGGAAGGATCCGGTGAGACTTTCCAGCTGAAGGGAGCAAGGTCAAAACCTTTATCAGGAGAAAAAGGATCAGAAGGCTGCATTCCAGCCAAACACCTGGCGCTCAAGCTGTTTGGGGTGCTCAAGCTGTTCTTTTTCTTCTGCAGAAAGAACGCCTGACGTTTTCTGATGTTTTCTGATTCTATACATCGAACCCTGCGATCCAAATCCAAATCCGACGCCCGTAGCACCTGCGGTGCCTGAAAACCTTGCTCACAGCCGGTCACCCGTGCTTGACACGTATGGCACAGGGCAAAGGGTGTCGATGGAACCTTGGCCTGGAAAAGGCTCAAAGATCCCACCAAGGAGTCATAGTCCAACCTGAATCGAAAAGCGAGGCCTGGGGGCTCTTCTTGCCTGTGGGCGAAAGCCAGTGTGTGCTGCGTGCTCTCCAAATCGACCTCAAATCAAGAGCTCGATGAGCCATCTCAACAAAATGCGTGTTTGTTGGTACATCAATTTGACTATTATACAGTTTCAAATCTCCGGTTTCTAGCGCTCACCTCTCATGCCAGCATGAGTAAATATTAGTACCAAACAACTGGCTGCCGATGTTCGGGCACCGAGGTTCATCTTCGAGGACTATCGAGCCTTGCATATGAGCCCTCGCTTTGTGGCCAGTTGTCCCGTGCCTTCAGAGTACCACATGATCATGGTCCTCCAAAGGGCATTGGAAGGCACTCAAATGCCAGGAGCGGAAGCTGGGACAGTGACACTGGTTGGGTGGGGAGTGTGATTCGTGGTGGGCCAACCCACGGCAGTGGCACCGGGCCACTGCCGTTCGGGGCCATTGTTGGTCTAGCCAGCCGCCTCAACAGATTTTTGGGAAAAGCATGGAAAAACGGACAAACCTCAAGTAAGGCTGGATACCTCAGTGTTGACTAAAGTCATCCAAACACAAACAATACATTCAAGACATTCAAGACTTGCCGGAATCCGTTCACATGGTGGATCTACTTTAACAACAATTGCGTGCAAAGCTGTTTGGGCGACCTGAGCATCTCATTGTCCGGACCGGGCGGACCTGAAGAGGGTCGCCGTCGTCCTTCGACTCTCCGTGACGCCATCGGGGTCTCATCGACGTCGCAGGTTTGCACATCTCGGCGCCCGATCGCGAGCGATTTCTGGGGGGGCACATCGACGACATGGCGGGGGTGCCCCGAGTGAGCGGATGGATTTGGGTTGGAGGCCACCACTTAGGGTGGAGGCCATTGCTAGTAGGTTGGAGGTCATCGTTCTTAGGTTGGAGGCCATCGCTACCAGGGTGGAGGCCATCGGGCCAGCCCTAAGAGGGCCATGGACGAGAGATGAGAGTGTTGCAGACGTGATCGAGTTGATATGATTTTGGGCCTGGGAGCTCAGCTGATGGTAAGACCAAGCCCACCGCAAAGCCCACTGGTAGATCCTGGTAGATGCTGGTAGTGCCTAGTGGTCATCGGAGTTTTGCCCTATACGGAAAGGGCCTTTGTTGTCTGACCTTTCTTCACAATTTAGTGCAAAGGACAATGCCACTTACAGTATTAGGAACGGGATGAACATGGATCCTTGCAAGAAAGCCCCCTCCGATTTTGCAAGCATACTCGAAGCGAAACATGTACAAACCAGTTTAGCAAGATGCATCCATATGGGATGTGAATGGAGATAATGTATCTCGATAGTCGATAGCTATTCTTCCCAGACAAATCCACCCCATCAAGACAATATTTAGAAAAGGAAACCAAAAAAGGAAATAACATGAGATAAACACATAACAAAACGTGTCTAGTCTCTTGGGTGAACATCTCGCCCTTCGCCTCAGTGCATCTCACTTCACCCGCCACCCGGATCTTGGTCCCATGAGGTGGCCCAGTACGCCCACAGCGGTCCCACCTCCGTGGTGCTTCTGCACGAGGCTCGGAGACCGGATATATCGGAGACGGGAGTGGAGACCTTCTCAGAGGGGATGAGTTGATGCGGAGGTGAGGATGCATGTGAGGATGATATAGGATGAGTATGCTGGGGCGCACTTAACGATGTCAAAATGTCATTCCTGCATTTAACAATAATTGCTGCTGGGACCGCAGCTCGGAAGTACTCAATGATGAATCCAATAAAATCTTATAAATAACATTAAAACCCGAATAGAAAAGGTGGGTTAACCTGCCCATGGGACAAGGATAAAGCAAAGGAGACCCTCATGCAGCCAAACCGGAGATCTGCCATGCAGCCAAACGGTCCTGTAGCCGTAAAGCTCACTTCTGGTTGTTAAATTAACAATCGGTCAGGCAGCCAGGCTTCACGCCCCTCTCTCTCCTACTCTCTCCTTTGATAGTGGACCATCTCCCCCAATTCGAACTTAGAATTGAAAATAATTCACCTATTCAAAAGGTTTAATACCTGCACTTAAGGAAATCACCTCAGTAGTGACAGGGCTTGGTATGCCCTCCCCTTTTTGCAGTCGGTAGCGCTACCGACTGCAGTAAGCCTCCATGTGATTTCCTTAAGTGCAGGTGAAAATAATTCAGGGATGCTTAAATCAATACAAAAACCATGCCCCATTGATTGAGAGCCATGGGCTTACTGAGGTCGGTAGCGCTACCGACCTCCCTAAGGGGGGGGTATGGCATGCCCTCCCCTTACTGACTGATTTCCTTAAGTGCAGCTGCACTTTGAAAATAAGTAGTTTCAATCAGGGTGACCAGCAAGAAAAAAACATGTCATCCGCCGAAAGTCCAAACAGTGGTCAGAGACTTGACTTTCCACATGTTCTAGAGAATCATATCCTTGCTTGAATGTGTAGACAGAGATTCAATAACAGCACTGCTGCTGTAATTTTGTACGGATGGTACTAAAGAGCACATGCTTGTTCCATGCCCTACCGAATCACAACGGGTCCTAAAGACAGAAAGCTGTGACTTCACGGGGTGCCCTATGTTTGGGGTGTTCAAGCCAGATATCCCAGCCTTCTCCCCAACTCATAGGGAGATTTAAACATGTCAAAAATAAGGAAAGTGATTTTTTGACTTTGTTAAGTGCAGGGCAGTATGTGATAGCGAATTTTTGTGAGGATAATGGACTGGGACATACTGGGACCGAATCAATCGAACTGTTCGAGGTGCTCAGGTCGAATCGGGCTTTGGGCCTCGGTTTGGTCGTGCTCAGCCGAGCAGGTGCTTGTCACAAGACCCTCATTAGGGATCCTGAAACAAGGCAGGATCTTCAGATTGACCTGATTCCCAACCAACCGGACTCACCGGCACCTCCGGCCATGATCTAAGTTGGATACAAAGAGGCAAAGGCTGAAGACTCCTTTAAGAGTCTTGTGAGCGTTTGTGGATGGAACTGAGAAAAGGACTGCTCATGGGGGTTCTCTAATTGAAAAAGAAAGCCGTTTGGATTGGGTTTTGGGCGAGGAATACCAAGGAATCGAACACATTTTCCGGACTGAGACCCAAAAGACTCATCTTTTGCTTGCATTGGAGCCACAGACCTAAACGAAGCAGTGACCAAGGACAATGGAAGGACCCAAGGACTCAGAAAGGTGCAGGACTATGCCCCAACGACCTGAACAGGTTCTGAGGCCGGTCATACATCTAGCAGGAGAATCGCTGAATAGGTGTTGAACATACTCTTTTAATAGATATGTTACGTCATATGTTTTTCTCTTTGATTTTTGCCTGTGCCTTTAGATTTAGGGTGCATCTATCTCATTCATGTGCCACCGAATACCGGAGGCCTATCCACAGAGCTTGGGGCTCTATGATGACAACCTCCGAAGTGATACAGCAGGCGAGAAACAACTCAAACCAGCCAGTGCCGCGCCAGACTGTGATTTCGGAGGAATTTATGCCAATGGATTTACACATGTATGTTGTGTACATTGTTCTACTTTGTTTTCCCATGCTTTCCCTGTTGGGTTCTTAATGATCTCGCCTTGTTCTACCGGTTGGGTTTGCGGCATTCTGGAAGGTATCTCATCTATTTGAACCTTTTTGGGATTTGTTTGGTTCAAGAGTCGATTGGTCTTTGTATCAGATCAAGCTAGCTGACTGCGTGGGTTGTTGGGATGAGTTCGGACGAAGCACTGCTTTAGAGGCCATGCAATGTAGATAGAAGTGGTATCCAATTGAGATCAATTAAGCAATTATAGACTATAGATGACTGTAGACACTAATGTAATTTGTGGGTATACATTAATGCGGCACCCTCAACCACGCACCCACTAGGTTCCAGCTGTGGTGGAATGGTATACACTGTATAGAGGGAGACGGTCGACAGACTGCAGTAAAATTATTGCATCAAACATGAGAACTCTTGTGGATAGGGAAAGTGGATGAGGGATTTGAAGCCCATCCCCATCAATTGGGAACGTTTACCTACTTTCGCCCCTAGAATCAGCCAATGTAATACAATAGATGCCTCTTCTGCGGTTGGACTTATCTTTTGCAGGAGCCCAGTAATATATATACCTCATTCAAGTGTCTTTGGCGTTTGCTGGAGTTGTTCCGTCTCAAACAGTGTCTTATACAGCTAAAAGCTCAAGGAAAACACATGAATCCAAGTGAGAATCCATGAGGTTGAGGAAAAGTGGCTTGACATGTTGTGAGTAAAGAAGATTGCTGAGTATTTGAATGATTTTCTCTCCCCATCCCCTTTTCCATGATTCATGATCATGGGCACTAACGGCATATACGTATATAGTCCGGTTTGGCTGAGCTTTCTGCGCCATCCACCAGGAGAATCATCAAAGAGAACGCTCCTCTTCTTCCTGGGCGCTGTCAAAGACATGACCCCGGAAGAGAGTCGCTCCTCAGCTGCAAGTGCAGCACTGCTTTGGGATTCACCTTATGGCCAACCTGGAAATGGCCAACCGGATGAGAATGAGACGCTGGTTCCCCTGGCCATACATGGCCGGTTCACCTATTTGCACCCGCAAAAGGTCGCTGTGTCAACCCATGGGTCGGTGATTGGAGTCGGTTTCGGGCCCTTCAAAAAGCACATGGCGCCCAACGAGAAGCGCGTGGATGGAAGATGTGAAGACATGATGAATTGGACTGGTTATGCTTGTCTTGAGTCTTGGGTCGTTTTTATTCTTACAAACTCTAGCTGTGGAGTTGGCTTGCCTGGGGATTCTCTCTTATATATGGGCGATTGCTTGCATGGATCATATCCTGCCGGCATGGGAATCACTTGGTCACCTCTGAGGTGCTGTGGTCAAAGCTTGCCGCGCTCGTGAGGTGCCATGTGTTGAGGTGCCTGGCCTCACACTGTCTTGCGCGCAGTTTTGCGACCAGAGGAAGATGGTGTAAATTCAAGTACACAGCTGCATGCAGAAGTGACTGCGGAACCTTAGACTCCCCACACATGTGGACAGGGTGCCACAAGGGTGACATGTGCTTTGGAAGGGTGACATGTGCCTAGAAGTCCAAAGACTATATTATACTATATTTGCTTGCTAAAATAGAGGAAGTTCCTTTTGGTATCACCAAAAGAGATCTAAAGAGCATTTATAAAATTGTCTTGGACCCCAATAGTATTCGTATTGCACATATCATATTTTCAAATTTGTCTTTCAGATATATTTGAGAGCAGTGCCTGATTCCCTCTGTTAACAGAGACGACGACCCTACATCATGCTGTGAGAACATCACTGGGGTTGGGGTTGGGACCCTGCAGACCAATCGATTGCTCAACACCTGGCTGGACTGCACCTAATTAGATGTTTTCAACCTGGCACCCATCCCGACTGGTGAACTGCTGAGCACCAGCCACTGCTAGGCCAACCTCGGTCAGCATGCAGAGTTCACCTCCAAAATCATTGATGTGCTGCATGGCCATCACCTGCCACTGGGCGCTTGATGATAGTTTGTTGGCCGTGGAACCATGAAGTCATAGATCCTGGTATTTGCAAACTAGTTGGTAGGCAACACATGGCAAAAACTGCGTTTTGCGTGTGTGTGTGTGTGTGTGTGTGGCAGTTTTGTTATGTTCCACATCGGATAGAAAGCAGAGCAAAATCAGGACCAAAGAGACTTCCCAATCCCTGTATATACACTTGCTTGTGCTTGGATTTATATATGGACAATGTGTTTCAACTTTGCAGGGGGCCACTCCACCCACCACCAGGGAGTGGCCAACGAAGAGCCTGGTGGTGTGGTGCTGAAAATGTATTTGATTTTCACTGATCAATTTATCCTTGGTCCCTGCTTTGTACCAACAACAAGACTTTGTCCTTTGCACCGATTTGCTGTCGAGAGCTACCTGGTTTACTCTGGCACATGTTTCACTCAGGCTTGCGAGTGGCATGAGGCTTTCAGTTCGTACGTTCAATTTCCCGAGAGTGTGTGTAACCCTTGGAGTCACAGGGAGCTGTATGGCTTTTAAGCAGGGGACATGACGGTTCATTTCCCAGTCACGCCAATGAAGCTGTGGAAATCAACTGGAAGGAAGTTTGGACAAACGTTCGTACGTTGCTTTATATTATATATATATATCTTAGTGCGGCTCCTGTATATTTGAATGCCTCTTCTGAACAACTTGGCCCAAGTTACAACTTGAGTGCACTCGCTCTTCTATGTTCATGTTACCGCTGCCAATCATCTCCCTATGGATTGTACTTTACTCGTGGTTACCTGCTGTTTCAGCCAACTTGATGATGTATTCCCTTTTCCCAATTTATGATCAAGTAACTAAGTTCATACCTGGCTTACTACAGCTTTTTCCGCACAGCTACGAAGTAAAAGTAAGTAAACATGAGCAAACTACTTTTGTTCCATTTTGGTATACATTGAGTCTTTCATGTAATGTGCAGCTACCAGTCCTTCTTAGGTATCGCCGCTTGGCCCCTGCTGTTGCTTTCCGAGCGCGGCGCGCGGCCGCGAGCGCCGGCGCCGGCGCCGGCGGCGCGGGCGGCGTGGTCCCGCCACAGGGGACGTTCTGGGTCTTCGTGCCGTGACTTGGTTCGATTTACGAGCTGCGCAGAGCAGAAGCGTTGATTGCGGGATTTCACCGACCCCCGTGATCAGTGTCGGTGGGCTGTCGCCACATCAGATGCGTGGGAATCGGCTCGACGGCATCAGGAGTGCAGGTCCCAGCCACAGATACATGACGATATGATATCTCCAAGTGCGATCTTTGTTTCCTTGGTTTGGGGTGGTTGGGGAGGGTGCCAGGGCGGTCTAACTAGCTTATCAGGATGTGGGCCAAGAACCCTAGGGATTTGTCAAGTCACCAACTCAAGCACAAATAAAGCACGGAGAGTTTGACGACTTTGCTTTTGACAAGAATCGCCTCCGCTGGCTCGGCCTCTCAGGATGAGTGGCTCACCTCGAGAGATGGTGGCCGACGATAAGAAAAAGGATGGCCAATACGAGATCCCCCGGTGCTGCATTTCACAGCTTTGGTGTTCCAAGAGTGACTCGACGGATGTGATTATTTAAAGGCTTACGCCTAACAGCCGGGCGCCGGCCCACTTGGGTCTGTGGGGCGTATGTCACGCCTATGTTGGCCTTGGTGGGGTCTATATTGAGCGAAGTGAAGCGATTTGTTGCCCTAGGTTGGGCCAAGTTGGGCCCATGTGGTCTATGTTAGGCACATCTTGGGCCCATGTTGAGCCTATGTTGGGCCCATCTTGGCCTATGTTAGGCCTATGTTGGCCTATATTGGCCTAGGTTGGGCCTATGTTGGCGTATGTTGGCCCTATGTTGAGCCATCTTGGGGGCTATGTTGGGGATATGTTGGCTATATTGGGCCTATGTTGGGGATATGTGAGGCAATTTATGTTGAAAAAATCTTCCGAGACAACCTTTACGATTTTTTCCTTCCCGCAAAGCAAAAACCTGGAAAAAACCTACGTTTCTTACATCGCCCAGATGAAATTCTCGGCCACCGAGGGGCCCCAAACCCTGTAAAACACGAGGTTTTTGAACATCGCACGCACAAACCCCTGTAAATTACGTTGATATCTGTGACCCAAACGTCCGCCCGTTTTGGGACCGAGGGTCGGCGGCAGGGGGAGCGCCCCTATATAACTTTCGGTTACCACCGAAGGCTCTCCGGGCAGGGCACGGGCTTCGTGGCCGGCGCCCGAATTTCAATTGGGTCAAAGGGGTCCTAGTGTGGTGGCGCTAGTGTGGCAATCTACGTCAAACTTGCACTGAATCACAGATGTGACAGATGCTGTTTCTCTTGCTAAGGGACAAGTGTTGCTCTCCTAGTTTGAAACACGGATGGGACCTAGGGCCGCAGGCGATTTGTCTCCTTTACCACAGGGGCCACCTGGGGCTACTTCTTGCTGCAAGCACTGCAGTTACCACCGTGAATGTTCGTGTTCATTGACCTAGTTCGTTGAGTTCAGCGAGGTTTGCATGACGGAATGAGCGTGAACCGGAGGGGTGAACTCTGAGGTGAGCACCGTTGTCATGCCTTGTCCTTCGTGTATCCTGGCGGAGAGGCGGCATGTGCTGCTGCCGTCGTGACAAGGGCTGATTGGAGATTTGAGGTGTGTTTTGTACAGGAACTCATCATAACTCATCTACCCATGTATCAGGGATTTCTCACTTGGTGTGCAAAGGCGCGAGGTTACTTGTGATGTACCTCAAATTAAGGCGCTCTCAACATCGTAGGGTCATGTATTCACAGGAACACTCGTCCCTGGGGCATTTGGCGTAAATTATGTAAGTTGTGAGTTGGGGCTGTGAGTTCCTGCCCAATGCTACCAAATCCATACAAGACCGTACAAGACTAGCTTTCGGTTGGACGTCCTCTAGGCTCAATAGACTTGTCATATCTTGTCATTGCACCTTCCCAATTCTGGATTGTTTATAATTACACAACAGAAACCAGCTCCTCTCCGTTGGACCCAACCAAACAGACCGGCACCCAGCAAGTCTTGTTCCTTTTCTTCCTTGCCCCTTCCTTGATTCAACAATTGTGCTTTAAGCTCTTCTTACTCCCACTATATACGTTACATTGTCATTTCCAACCGTTGAATTTGGTTTTAAACCTGAGTCACCATGCTCCCTTCTGCTTTTGCACCACCATCCCTTCGTCGGCGCCACGCACCTCGCGCAGGTCCTCACTGTGAACCCTTCGCTGGTGACCTGCTTGAAGCTGCAGCACCGCGCGGCCCCCACGGAGCGCAATTTGGTGAGTGCGCTGCGGGTGGCCAGTGGCGACTGGAGGGTGCCTGAGATGTTTTGAGTCGGTTTGAGGGAGATGGCGATGTCTTTGCAAGAAATTGGTTGGGAAAACTTCAGGGAGGAACCGTTTTTTTTGTTCGATTTTGGGTCCGCCAGGCCGATCCCAACCTCACGGTGGACGAGGGCTGCGTAGTCCTGGGCGACGCCGGCAATGTCATGGCCAAGCGAGGTGTGCAGGGGGGAGGCTGGGAGAGGAAGACGGCACAGGCCACGTTTTTTTTTACTTGTGTGTGTATATTAAATATGTATGTTATATATCGTGTTTATGTGTCGTGTCATGCTACGTGTCAAGTAATGCTACGTGTCAAGTCATGCTACGTGTCAAGATCATGCAGTCGTTTTCTTGTGGTACAAGTCTCAAGTCCATTTTCCTTTTCTAAACAGTGTCGTTAAGGGGTCCTTCTGTGGGAATGGTGTGCATGTTGGTGTGCGTCAAGCTTAGGGAAAGGTGAAAGTGTGAAGTTTCGGTGAACTCAGAAGAATCCTACAGCAGTTGCTCTCATTGGCTGGGTGCATAGGGTACGAGGACCCCAGAAAATCAATGGTTGCCACGTTTGAAGGGTTCTGAATCCACAGTACATAACTAGATGTGTCAGTATTCCCCCTTGTTTTGTGCAGTAAACGACAGAGTTCACTCCTGCCTGACAAGGGCAGCAAACCATTTCAGTCATTTATTCTGCATCAGACACATGCCTTGGTTGCGACGCAACTGCCTGACGACTCCACCCAGCAAGTCGAAGCAAACACAATTTATCAATTTCCGAACGCGGCACTCTTTTCATCTCTTTTCAGAACCTGGATAGACCGGAGACCGAGGAATCTAATAAAGGCACTTACTAGTAGTCACAAGAAGCTACTAGGGGCTCCTGGCATCGCTACTAGGAGCAAGGACACTACATAGTTCTTTTTCGCTTCCGAGGCTTGACGACAGACCTGTCAGTATTTAACCTCATGCCACTGACGTCCCCAATCAAGTAGGTGTTGATCAGAACCAAACAGTTCCCCGGAAAAAAGTAACAGAAAAACCATGGCCATGGTACGTTAAGCTTTGCAATAGTCAATCTTGCTCAGTTTGGTGAACCATCCGCAAAGACCGGCCGTTTGTCATGGCTCTTGGTTCTTGAGTCTTGCCCAAGCCATGTGGCCATGTTCGCTTCTGGGTTGGAGGCCATCGCTATGTGGCTTCTTTCGCTCCTCTCAGGTGAAGCTTTACATCCTCAGCGCACCGCCCTGTTGGACCTGGAGGTGGGCAGCGAAGGCCCGTGCCGAAGTCCGTTGGTTCATGGCTGATAATTGGCTCCACAGCAGAAACATCGCACACATTTCGTGGTGGGGCCAGTGAAAAGACATCCTTTACAATCCAGGACCTTCAAAGGGGTGTCCAATGGAGATCCACAAGTAGTGCAGGGTATTCCGTTGGAGACCCCGTAAGGAAGGTGCTGGATGTTTACTAGTAAGATGTTTTGACCCGTGTTTCACTCATGTTGTGCACCCACCACTGACCTGCTGTCAATGGAGTTGCAGTTCTCGAGATACCAACTACTTCCAAGTGGGTTGAGTATGGAGCGTAGCTTTAATCAAGATTCCGTGATTTTGTGTTCATCCAGGCAGGCTACAACAGGCATTGATTGGCCTTTTAATCATGGGATTAGGACCCCAAGGAACTATCAAGTCAAGTGTTCCATGGGGCGAAAATCGACAAGCAGCTGCAAGCAGCTGCAGCTGCCTACAAGTTTGCTGTAGAACTAGAGGCTCTTGTTGCTTTTTGCTCTGGAAGGTCCTGTTCCACGGCTGGATCCTTACACTGGCAGCAGTGGCAAGGGGTTGCAAAACGTGGCAACTTGGACTGCAAGAGGGGCCTTTGGAGGAGGTCCCCCGACACGCCCAATGGCCTTGTCGAAGTCACAAGGCCCAAAAATGACCGGGCATAGATTCTCGAGAACGGTCAGTTTGTGGGTCATTTAAAATGGTTTGCAATGCTTCAACAATCTTCAGCGGGGATTGTGTTGGTTGTGTTCTCTCGTTTGTTTTGAAGTGGAACACCGAGGAGACTTGGCCTGTTTGAGCTAAGGGCGTCGCTACGTTGCTACGGTGCGTCACGTTTTAATGCAGACGAACGCGTATTGAGGAGGGCGAAAAGATTGTGCAACAGAAGGGCTTATGAGAAAGATACTCACCTTGAAAACTCCCCATCCTGTCTTGAATGTCCTCATGCAACGCACATGAGCGCAAGTCGCTTTCAAGAATGGGGTTAGCAGCAACGCAACACCCAGTGCATTGTGCCTGCACTCATTTTTGTCCCATCCTGACTCCCATTCCCGCCACAATCACCACTGCTGCCAACGCCACCACGACCGCCACCAAGACGAAGACCACTCTGACCACCACTAAATACCACTATATAAGTCAGCCCTGAATGTGTACCTACAGTACCACCTATGCCACCTGTCACTCCCACCCACTCACCAGGTAGCGCTTTGAAGGTGAACTTCCCACCACACTCGCTCGCGCGAAGAAGTCACCGACCCGCCACAGCTCGACCGGTCGCAGGTGGTGTTGCTACACCAGTCTGGTGCGCGCGACTTCCCGCGCAACTTCCGGTCGCAGTTGCTCAAAGGTGCGGTGGGGGAAAGAAGGAGAGACGGCCCTTCCCCAGGTTGAAGCCAGAATGCCATCAGACCAGCCCATCTCCACTGATCTTCCAGTGACCTCCCAGTTGATCCCTTGGTCACTCAAACCCTGGCAGCGCCAGGTTTGTTCCCCAAGGGCACCTCAAAGACTTGGACGCAGCTCGCCATGCCTCGTGCCTTGGCGAGTCTTCTTCTGTGGCTGGTCCGGCAAAAGAAAGGCCCAGTCATGTTGTCATGCTTGTTTTGATTAGGCCCGGCCCGACACATAGATGGCTCATGTGGCTTCATGAAATTCATTTCTTTTGATAAAGCAACGAAGGCTTGGCTTGGATGTGCATTCGGTGATTAGCTGCCGATCCGGTGACACCACCCTTCTCCGCCGACCTGTTTTCACTCGGCAGGGCCAAGTCAAAGAGCTTTTCCTCTTTGCACAACCCGTAAACAACATCAAACACATCAAACAACGAATTCATGTCGCCACTGAATGGAAGGGGCATCGGAAACTTAGGCCATCTCAGGGTCTATGTGAGTTTTGCAGGTGTTATAGCTAGTTGTAGCTATACTATGCTATACTTGAATTTGAGATATGGACGATGCTGCAGCCCCCTGTTCACACTGAAATCCATCCACCCTTCGACCACCCGCCCAACTACCCTCAGCATAGTGAATGCAGGACAATATTTTCTTTCTGAGTATTCAAAGTATATGTTGTAGATGTTTGTAGGACCTTGTAGGTGTCATTCTACACTCTTGTGTGGGTCGATGCCTCGGCGCACACTTTTTTCCTTGCACACACACACACACACACACACACTCGTGAAACGGCCAGCCCAACTGGGCGAAACTCCTGCCCGAATTTCAGGTCTTAGCATTCACGCCTCCATCTCTTTGTTGGGTCATTTCTGGGACACCCGCGCCTTAACGAGAGCCTTGGAAAAGATCCCAGGCACGGCTCGGGCGCGGTCGTTTGGGGTTCGGTCAGCCTGGTGGATCTTTGTGTTCGGTGTTTTTTTTTCCCTGGAAATGCATCGGCTGGAGGACTACCGTGCTTGTGGCTTTCGAGGGAAGGTGAAGGTCATCTACCAAGTTGGTGACTTGTTATTCAAGCGCGAGGTGGTGTTGATTGGTTTCCAGATTGGTTTCCAGATTTCCCCTCAACCAGCGGGCCTAGAATAAGCCTTTGTCCGAGCTGAGCGTCTCAAATCGAAGCTTTGACCTATTGGGCTGAGGGAGGTAGAAGCTGTAGCTGTTTCTCCCCAACCATCTCTTCACCGAAACCCGCTGTCTCACAACCGCTGTTCAACGACTGTTTGAAGAATAGAGACCTGAGTTGCTTTCAGATTTTGTAGAGGGACTTCCACAAATGTATTCCCGAGTGATTGTCATCAGTTGTCTCGGTAGCTTCAACCTTTGTGGCATTATACACCGTGCCGTTTGAGGGTGCTTGGGAAAGAAGTGGTCTCAACAGCTATCAAGTCCTGCTTATTTGGGTGGTTTAGGTGAGATGACAATGACTCCTGGCAGCGCCAGGTATAATAACAATAATTGCTGTACAGTTGTATAGATTGAATCACAAATAGAATCAAAGTTTCTCAATAGCATAGAATTGCATGGGATGGGAACACCTGGAGGTGCTAAAACTGTGTCTCCACGGCCTGGGGTCACTTGCCCTTGGAGGGATAAACTTACATGGGCGTTGATTTGTACACAACGCACAGATTCTGAACAAAGGCAAGTCTATTCCCAATATGTTTTGTGGTTTTGATTGGAGTATCCAGGGTCCAAGATGTTCTGGCTAGGGGCGGCCAAGATTCCTTTGGCATCTTTTGGCTTTGGTGGACCAAACCCAGTTCACTGACATGGCCCTGCACAAAGGCGTATCTCGTGCACAGTCACAGGAGACCAGGGTCGTCGTGTGAGTGCCGGAACTGAAGCTGACCATCCCGAAAACTAGCGAATATAACCATCATCAACACTGAATATAGAGAGACATACACATTAGATACGTGCATTACTATGACCTTATTTGTTCGAACCATTTTGTTACAAGCTAGGCAAGTGATTAGTTTTGTTGGTGCTTGTGTTGGCAGCTAGCATAGATGATTCAATTGATACCATCATCGTGCCCAATGCTCATTGGTTTTGTTGAAATCCCCAGCATTCGAGATGGCTATAGTGATAATACAATTACTGTATATATATATATTCGATCATTGTATACTCAGGCAAACATGATTTGTTTGTTCCTGACATGGAGCTGCAGGGAATGGATGTATTGATTTGCAAGCTAATTTGTTGATTGGGACCTTGCGCTTTTGGCGAGATTGGTGGTCGGACGCATGATGAAGGAAATGGTTCTACCAGAAAAACAATGTATTACTATTATTATTGTTTTTCCATTAACGCATGGATTACAATGTCGGGATTGGCGACTTCAGCTCCTTACCCACCTAAGTTCAGGTGCAAGATTGTAAAGAACCTGCAGCACTCTCCCAACAGGCCATGACAATACTTGTGGAGTGTTCAGGTCGCTCTAGCCGTTTGCTTCTCTGGGTGGTTTGGTCCTCACCCATTCGCAGGAGCCGGCGGCAAACGAAGCAGCACCCATCAAAATCCTTCAGCGCAAGGTCGGTTGGGGTCTTTCTTTTTCTCGGTCAGGAAGACTCGACGGCAAGTGGAGATGTGACTGGTGCACCGCTGTGAAGTGGAAGGCCGTAAGGCAAGAATTGGATGCATCATGATAGATCACACACGGGTTCGGGGATTTATGGTTTATTCGCAGCCTTTACTCGGGATCAATGATTGAATCCACTGAATAATATGTTTCAAGTGACTTCCAACTTCCGACCATGACTTGATGGTTCATCTCTGGCTATTTACTGTAAGAGGATCTCCTATGTCCAACAGCTTTCTGTCCCACAAATCACGGGAGATCGCAACGGACTCGCTCACTGTTGCCAAGAAGATCGTGTGCTTAAAGGGGTGCTTTGATGGACTATGATGGACGAAGTCCTGAAATAGCTGCCAAATAACATCAAATAACAAAATCATTTGTTTATGACCGAGTCCTAGATGATTTGCATTGAACACGGTCCTAAAGCCATCCACTCCCGCTCCCAAAGATAAAACCGCCACCTTTTGGATTGTGGAGGTTATTGAAGCCATTTCCGGTGGATTTGCTTTTCTGGGGGCTTGGGTTTTCCAGGGCCGAGCTATATAATTAAAATCATCATATATTGACTATAGCAAATATGATGAACTTCCATGCTCTACTTCTAAGGACGTACGATGGGTGATGGCAGAGGTTCTTCTGACCATAATCTAGTATATCCGAGTTCATCTGTGGCGCCCAATATCAATGTCAGGTGTGATCTGTGAAGCGTTCTCCCAGAGCTTCCCATGTTTCTTTGCGAATGAACGCTTGCGGTGCGCCACCTCGGGTGTGTCAGGCGGAAATCAGTGACCGGCAGCTTGGTGCTGAGCGTTCCACTCGCACGTTGTCCGGGAAAGACGGGGAGAAGTGCGGCTTTTGGAAAAGATCAGCGAGGTTTTGGGGTGCTGAGATTTGTCCAGATTGTGGTGCTGCATGGAATATGCTTCTGTATGATCCATGGTGTGAATGTGTTTTTGCCAAGGATGCATTGAAAAGACGAACATCGCTTGCATATCGATTGCATATTGGCATATTGCTTGCATCCAGTATTTTTTTTGGGGGGAGCTTAAAGCGCCCAACTTGGGCGCTGGCTTCAGCACACCGAAAGGCTCACGCTGTGAGCGAAAAAGATGAGCACCGGGCGGCCTTTAAGCCTTCTAAGGACCGAAGAGACGGAAGGATGGCTACGACAAGGCAACGTGATTCATCCAAGCTCGGGCAGCTCGGGTTATTAGGTCATCCAAGATTCATAATCAGAAAGCTGCACAAGAGATGTTTGGGATCCATCTTAGCTTGTTTCAGCTCTCCAATAGTGGGGAATTGGCCGATGATGTCAAGTACGAGGAAACTGTAATTCTAATGCTTCAGGGGCGCAAGTTGCCAAGCCCTGCTCGCCTGAAAAGAAGGATACCTTAGATTTGCTGAGGAGGTTGTATTTGCAACTTGGAATGTGTTCTTGAAGGATCCCAGCAGTGCTTTGCCCACCACCCTTGTGTGTTTGCCCAAGCTGTTTGTGATTGTAAACTTAATTCTGTTGTTAATCCTAGACCATCCATGGGGCTGGCATAGTTATCTACTTCCATTGGGGTCATATTCATGGCGTTAATGTATGTAACTAGCCAAGTCCCATGGATGGTCAGGGAATGGGAGGTAAAGCCCCGTTGTTTTGGCGGGCAAGTTGTTATCCATGCCAGAGAGCATTCATTGATGTTCCGCTTCCATGAAGGTGTTCAGGGGTAGCAATAGATGAACCCCCAGCAAGCAAGACGTTCTCTAAACGAATCGCCTTGATAGTCTGTGGTTTTGTTCCCGGTTCTTTGAGCTCTGAACCTGCTGCTCTCAGAAGCCTCGCTCTTACAGCAACAAAGCTAGGGTCACTAAGGCACTAAGGAGCATTCATTCTTCGCGTTGCCAGACGAGCCAAGGAGCTAATCACCCTTCACTCTCTTCACTCTTCTGAACTAACTAGTTTGGGCATTGGTTTGTTGCTGCAGAACTCCCTGGTTTTTTGGAACCCTGTTTGCACCATGCCCGTTGAGCGTGTGAGATGCGCGGTTTCGGAGGCCGTCGAGGGAAGCAAGAAGTCGAGGCCACGAGCGATTCGTCCTTTTCCAGTGTACAGACATCATCCACGATCCACTCACCAGAGCCACCAGAAGCTACTAGGAGCAAGGACGCTACTAGGGGCTCCTGGCCTTACTACTAGGAACAAGGACGCTACTAGGAGCTTCCACTCCCCCGACTCACCCACCGTAGCACTCCGAGAAACGGTTTGTTTCGGGAGGGGCTCGCTCAGACAGCCGACCGCATGCTTCCATGGGACTGGGCATATTGACCTGGCGCGTCGTTGACCTACGGTTTAGGTGCTGAGGGGTCAGCGACAATTGGAGCAACTGACCAACCCCTGAGATTTCAGGTTGTAAGTTGCCTCCTTGAAACAGCAATTAATGAATATGAATATTGTTTGGCCAAGGTCAAAGGTCAACTGTTGTTTCACAGTTGAGCACACAGGTCTAGACCTGAAATGTGCAGGTGACATAATGTAGGTCCATTGAAATGTTTATTGTCATCGCAAAAGAGTGGCATCTGAGAGTAGAGCGTGATTGAGAAACAGGTTTGATCTTGTGCACCCTGGATCCAGGTGTTCAATGAACTGTGATGAACCGTATGTCCTTTCCCTGATCTGCTATATCTGCTCAGGAGAAGAATGAATTGCCCTTGGAGATCCTTCAACGCAGCCTGACTCAATGCAGTCGATCGTTGCTTTGCGCCCGGCTCAACCACAACGAAGGCGGCCTTCGTTACATCTTGGAACGCAGAACACAAGATGAGAAAGCGAATCACCATCTCCTCCTGGGAGCCCAACTTCTTCGAACCAGGAAAATGAGGCCCCCCAAATCACTCCCCTCGGAGCCTGTGGCTCAACGTGTCTCATGTTCCTTGTCCACTTCAGCCATCCACCGAGGTCAGGAGCCGGGTCCAGCGCCGGATTTACCGGTCCAGCCGGTCCAGCCCACACCGGAGGAGATCGGGAGATGAGGTCAAAGGTTCTGTGGATGAGCGGAGCATAGCGGAGCTGTTGGTTCGAACCGGTTTGGAGCTGGGATTCTGATGCGCTTCGTTTTGGTGTTTGATTGACTCGACCAAAAACACACTCAAAAGTGTGAAACCCATTCCGTGGAACCCGAACCTGATGTTCGATAACCTGGCTCACATGTAACAAGACTTTCCTGAGATTGTCCTGAAGGAGAGTGATTCAAGTGCAGCAAAAGCATCAAAGCCCGAAGAAGAGCGTCACTTGTTTGAGCACGGAATGCCGGGTGCCTTGTTTCTTCTCAACAATGCCACAAATTGCTTGACCCAGGGCCCATAGAGTGCGGTTTTCCAGGCACAAGCACCTGAAAGCGGGACCCTTGTGTCCCTCACAGACAACACACAGACATATTTTGACATATATAAGTTGTGACATACTATAATAAAGTAATACAGAAATACATGTTCCAAACATCCAAACGGGTCCCTTATGGTCCCTTCACGTTCATGGACTCCGGAAGCGGATGAAGCCGGAACACTTCTTCCAGAGCTTCAACCGAAACATTGAGATCTCCAAGGAGTCCATCTCAGCATCTCTAAGGGTCTCAGCATGTGCATGTGTGAAAACTATCCACGGAGTGTCTCGGCGGGGTAGTGTGCGCGTGTGCTTCGGAGAGGCCGAGTTGGGAAGATCTTCATGTTTGATACTCCTTTTTAAGCTAGATGAGTGGCTGAAAGCAGAACGAAGCCAAAAATCTGAAAGCTACAAACGGGCCTTTTGTGCACAATAGGAAGCCAAATCCAAATCCGCAGAAGGATGAGCCTCAAAGGTCAAGAACACCTCAGTGAAATCCAGCTGTGGTCATCAGAGGGTGAACTCTGGATGCAGTTAGACCAAATCTCCCTGCCAACACAAGAGGGCGAAGGAGTTGAACGCGGTATGTTTTTAATATGTGTTTTTCTGAACTGTTCATAACACACACACATTCTCGATATTGCGTACTGAACTGAATGCCACATGCCACACGCCCACCTAGGTATGAACGAATAAGAGGTCAGGTTATATAAAGGTAGTTTGACCATGAACCTGAAAGCTCAAAACCTAATATTTCTCCAAGGTCGAACAGTTTCAAATCACAAGGTGAAGATCAAGCGAGAAAAGCGGCGAGAACGAAAGGGGAGTATGTGTAGACCTGAATCATCCTGCAGCTCTACGATTGGAGAGTGGCTAGAACATTCACAAAATGCAGGTACAGGAAGGTGACCAGCCTTCCCCTCCCATCCATGACCGTAGCTTCGTTGCACACGGTGGGCCATGGATGCCGTGTGCCCCTGCTTACTAAAGAAACTACAAATCAACCGGTTCCTTGTGATTCCAAGGGTTACACGCACACACACTTATGGAAATGCATACTGATTGGAAAGCGGTTGCTACACGCCAGCCTAAGTGAAAAACCTAAGGGCCCAGGTAAAAACACCACAAGAATCCTGCAAAGCCTTCAAGCTCAAACTCAAAGGCAAAAAGCAGCTGCATGACTGCCGAGTGCATAACCGATGCAATGGCTGGAAGTCTTGTTCTAGGTACAACGGGGCCCAAAAGGAAATGAGTGGTGATCATCTTTTCGGAGGTACATGCAATCTGCGTCCAGATTGCATATCACAGCAAACTTGAAGTGTCTTCTTTGAGCGGTGACTTCAAGAATGCCCACCGCTCCCCTGCTGGAATGGTCGAAATAGCAAAAACCGAAAAACAATCCGACAGGATCCGTGTGACTCCAAGGGGTACACACACACACTTATGGAGACGCGTACGGAACTGACAGCGGTGCCACTCGCCGGCCTAGGTTAAAAAACCTTAGGAAACGAGGTAAGTAAGTAAAAAAGTAAAAACTTTAGGAAACGAGGTAGGTTAAAGTTAAAGTAGAGGCGGACGCTAGAAGTTGGAGGTCAGTCAGCGCCTAAGTTTGGAGGCCCAAGCAACAGCAAGCAGCAGCAAGCAGCAGCTATGCCCACCCCAACTCTGCTGACTGGATAGGAAAGCATCCAGCCAAGCAGAGTGGACGCGCCGGCCCTAAGGGCAACCGGCAAGCCAACTACTAGAAAGGTACAGCAAATAGAAAGAGGCCATAGCGACAAGGTTGGAGGCCTGCGCAATAGGAAAGATGGCCCATAAGACACAAGGCAGCGAAAAAAACACAAAACAAAACCGAAAACGGATTGTGACTCCAAAGGTTGCACTGCAACATTATGAAAAACATCAAGATTTGTGCGTGTCATTTCTTTCAACTGCAACAACGTGGTACACTGCAAGATTTGTGCGTGTCATTCCTTTCAACTGCGACAACATGGTACAGTTCAAGATTTGTGCGTATCATTCCTTTCAACTGCAACAACATGGTACACTTCAAGATTTGTGAGTGTCATCCATCAAACTTCAAAAGAAGCCCTGTGACTACAAGGGTTACACACACACGCCTCCCCGAGGGGAGGCGTAAAGCTAAGGTGAAGGCCAATGTGTACGTGTGCGCGCGCAAAAGAAAGTGTGTATGAAGGGAAAGGATGAAAAGGGGAACCGGAAACCGACGAAACCAGACCTCATTAAGGCGACCTAGGAAGACCTGGCCTGGTTTGGAATGTACGCGCTGTGTGTGCACTTAAGGCTGCGACAGGCCCCACTGGGCCTTGGGAGTACTTCGGCCGCTGCGGCCACCTTGCGCCATGCCAAAATGGCGGGCGGCTTTGACAGCTATGGTCACCTAATGGCTTGCCCGAAAGGTGCCCACTCAAATGCAATACTTTGCAAATAACTTTGCCAAAAGCCTCCTGCTGTCTGCTACGGACACCTACGTTCCCAAGCCGGGGGTTCAACGGGGCCACAGGGGACACTCCTAGGGTACACCCTGGGCAGGCACAACGGCCAGACACACTCGAGATATTGCGTACCGAACTGAATGCCACATGCCACACGCCCAGCCAGGTATGAACGCCTCAGAGGTTAGGTTTAAAGGTAGCTTGACCATTAACCTGAAAACTCAAGTGACTGTAGGCGTTCTACTGCAGTAAATGGGCAAGATTTGTGAATGTACACGTTTAACTGCACGACTGAGGTTCCTTCAGGGCAGGTGGCATTCAGGTCATACAGATCATGTCCAAGTGTGTGTGTGTGTAACCCTTGGAATCAGGGAGCCCGTTGATTTGTAGTTTCTTTAGTAAGCAGGGGCACGCGGCGTCCATGGCCCACCGTGTGCAACGAAGCTACGGTCATGGATGGGAGGGGAAGGCTGGTCACCTTCCTGTACCTGCATTTTGTGAATGTTCTAGCCACTCTCCAATCGTAGAGGTCCTCAGGCTGCTGCAGGATGATTCAGGTCTACACATACTCCCCTTTCGTTCTCGCCGCTTTTCTCGCTTGATCTTCACCTTGTGATTTGAAACTGTTCGACCTTGGAGAAATTTGGCAGGACCCATCGAGATTCCCTGCGCCCCCTGCTTTTAAATGTAAAAGCCAACAGGCTACCCTTGAATCGAGGGTGTACACACAACACGCACGCACGCACTCACGCACGCATGGGACGGCGAGCCGTCGAGGTTCTCCCACGTCTCCCATTTGGGAACGTCTTCAGGCGCGGTAACGGGCTGCCTGGACTCGGTTCCGAGTTATGTTATGTTCAACTGGGTTTCCCCAGCCAATCCACGAAAGCGCGCCGCAACAATGTGGCTGAGCGTTTTTAACAGGGATTGACATAAGAACCGTTGACCAAGTTTGAGTCCCGCGTCGGACAAATGTTTAAAATGTGGACACTCCTACTGCAAAGAGTTTTGCCTGTTCAGTCAATGACTTTGTGGGACTTTGCCCGGGATTACAACTATGTTTGTTAATGTTTGTTATAACTAATGTTGATAAGTTGATATCAAGGACCTTTCTGTTGCCTAGATAACCCAGAATGAAGCAGGATAGAACTCCACGGTGAGGTGATGTAAAAATAGGTGTGTGACACTGTGAACTCAAGAAAACTTCACACTGAATTCGGTCCTTGGAAATTGCTGAGAAAAACAACATTTGGTACACATCTATGCACACGTCAACTGCGACCTTGGATGTTTGTTTTGGAACGGATTTGCGTTAAATCAGGTTTTGGAAAAACTGAATGTTTGGAAACGATGCAACATACCGCATCATTTTGCCTTTTATGACGTGGTAAACAGTTTCTTCCCATGTCAGTCTAGACACCGTCCATCCATCCCTGACCCCGAACCCGTGGCGTTCGCTTCGGCCGTTGGAGGCGCAACGAGATCAAGGCACTCCTCGCCACTGGCAGAAGAAAGCAAGCAGGGGTTGGGAGGAGGTGGAGAGTTGGTCGGATACTGTATTGGATCAGTACATAAGAATGTGGGACTGGTAAGGACAAAGCAATTCCAAAGCGATGCGAACTTTAGCTCGACTTTGCTTTACATGCCATACCCAGTGGTTGAGTCCATCGTTGCTCGGGGTGGTGTTCCAGAAGGCTGACAGTGATGATGCGAAAAGATTTTACAACTCAACCATACCACGAAGCCTGAAAGTATTGTTGTTTATTGTAAGCCTGGGACATGGGAATGAAAGAGAGTGTTGTGTCTGAGTCTAGCTGTTGGTGTCACCTTGCCTGGCAGTTCTTGCTGATGAAAGACCCATTGATGCCGAGTCCTGTGAGAACTGGACAAAGTATGTAACATCCGGGAACTTTCTAAAAACTTCGCACGAAACTGAACTATCTATAGTGGTTTTTCATCCCTCATTAATGCTGTTCTACGATTGAAAACTGACGAACGTCTAGCTGATGTGCAGAGAATTAAACATAATGTTATTCCCAAAATGGGAAGGCGTCGGAAGAGCAGCACGCTGCTTAGCCATCACTCCGAGGCACTCCGGTGGCCTGGGAAGAGCTGCTCAGTAGTGATGAAGAGCTAGTGGAGAAAGGGCTCGAGTCTGCGCATGAAAAAGACACATGGGTGTCAGTGTATATTTTGTTCATCGCAAAGAGGGCATGTTCCAAACTTTGGAGAAGTGAGAACGGCCGTTTTGTTCAGGCCTATGTTGCCGGGGAGGTCCTTTTAGTTATATCGGGCATGTGGAGATATGTGGAGATTAGCAATTTGATGATATCATTGGAACGGTTTGAGGTGATCAATGCTTGGAGATGCTCCAGCGATGGTGGCAAACTTGATGAGAATTGCTCGGTCTCCTTCCGTGAATAATGACCTTCACTTTCTTCCTTGGAGTGTAAAGCGTATAGAAGTTACATCCTGTGTCCTCGGGTGGCAGGCGGGTGCACTCAGGACATTCAACCTCGTAGAGGCACAAGGACTGGTGTGTGTGTACGTAGCAGAAAGATTGTGAAAGTATGTGAAAGTGATCAGCTGGCGGTAGATCTTCTATGTGATTCTTCATTGTCCAAGTAAATCACTTTGAAACCTTTACTTGGGATGACCACCAACCAGTCAATCCAAGTCCCATCTTTGGGAAACCCATTGTTGAATTTCATAGACGAACTCCAAGCTTCAGAGCTTGGCTCGGTTTGACCGGATCTCAGACCCGTTCGACATCCGAAATCGGCAAAATTCTGGCTCACAGCTGGAAAGATGGTGCAACAGATGTTCCAGCAGTTCAACTTGGTGCGTCTCACTTCAGGATCTTGGGTTGTTTCTTTGCTCATATTTGCGAGCTTGCTTTAGCAAGTCGCAGAGTCACAGATGGACATAGAGACAGAGGTTTTGACTGAGATGGGGGAGAGCAACAACAGCATATTAGCTTTTTGAACCATAGCCTCTATCTTGGAGTGATTTGCTGCGCAACTGGCTCAGTTTGCATTTCTTTTTCGCTGGGATCCGCCACTGGTATATATATCGGTATAACACAAGTATAGTAGGTTTTAGACTCAAGATGAAGGTCCTTCTTCAATTTCAAGTGCACCTGAGATTGCTCAGCCGAGTTTCCCATATGATATTGTACGTTTCTTGCCAAGAACATCGAATCACCATCAAGTCTTAAGCAAAATGGGAATGGGAACTCTGATGATGGGAACTCTGACGTATATAGTTGCAAAACGTTACAATCATGGGCGCCAGAGTGGTCAGTTGCAAAAGGTGTCCAAAGCCAGTTGTCTCCAGTGCCTCCTCCAAAGGGACCTTTAGGCATACCAGTTCAGGTCATGTTGAAGAAGCCGGTGGTTATTGTTTTTGTTTCCAAAACCAGCGCCGTTGTGCTCCAAAGGCTTCGACTCGGTTCCACTGTTGAGATTTCTCGGGAACCGAGAACACACCGGGGTTCCCGATGCCTCAGGCGGCATGTATGGCCTGCGCCTCATCAACAACTTCTACGCGGTGGGGCAGCCAATGTCTAGTCATAGTCTCCATGATGATTCATCGATGCCGCATGGAGTCACTCCCAACCAGTGCCATTGAGTCATTTGTTACAACGGGTTTGAAGTTGGGCATGTAGTTGGCAATTGACATCCAAAAAGTATTAAGTATTTAGACGTAACTCGCTTTAGACTGGGACGATCAAGCAGGAGTGTTGTTGGTTTATAACACAAAACATCCACATACAGGCGCAGGAGGACCAAGCCTTTCCAAGTTCACACACTTTGCTCCCCGCAACAACATCCTTACCATTCCTTACCTGAGTTGAAGCTGCCATGTTTGTTCACCCTCCAGCATTTCTGAAAAGTCACAACTGCTTCTTTGGGGGAGTCTTGTACTCACAGCTCAATCACCCCAAAAATGCATAAAAATGCCGTGTCCTTTCCCCGAACTCCGAAGCGAAGCCCAAGACAGGACTTTGCTGGGACGCGCTCCGACTTCGTGGTGGTGGGCCATCCGGAATACAACCTCGGGAAGGCTGGGGGTTCGACCGGGACACTTCGACCTGGCAGGAGCTGAGGCCAAATCGCTCGCTCGGTCACCGTTGGTGGGCCTAAGAGGGCGATTTTGAGGGATGATGGGGTGATGTGCTGAAGGATTCGGTTCTTGGTTGGGTAGCTTTTCTGGTGTTTAGGAGTGTAACGGCATGCAATGAGGAGTTGGTGAAAGTGATGCATTTTTTTCACCAAGGGGTGTGCATGATGTATGCTTTCAGGCATTCCCCTGACTTGTTGTTTGGGAATCAAGAGGCAGAACAGCACCGGACCCAACCTGTGGGTTCAGGGTGAACCAGACATGCCCTGTTTCCTTTCCAAAGAATCAACTTACAATGTGGAGTTCGCTTGTCACAGCAGCTAAGCAGGATAGACTTTTTAGGTTATTCTGTTTCTTTGACGAGACATATCAATGGCTCCCAGGTCCTTACATGAAGAAATCAGCTTTGCTTGAGAAAGATGGGAGTGCTAGGCTGCTAGACATCATTCTGGGAAAAATACACTATATAGTTTTTCTTTGCATCGCAACCAGCTCAAGCCATTTTCCAGCTTTGGGCCCCTTCACTGCTTCCAGACCTTCCTGACATGCATGACACACACCAAGAACCCTTCGACCAGACTGATGGTGTGGCGACTTAGAGACAGGTCCGTTCCGACTACGGCTACAAGGCGACCTGGTGAGCAGATGTTTCACAGGGGTCAGAACAGAAGGCGACCAACTCGACTCCAAGCCCCAGCTTAGCTTGCAGTTGCTGGGAACCAAGCTATGTCCTACACAAGCAACATGACGAAATGCACGTACGTGTTCTTTTTCAGACCAAGAGTTACGTTCCGCAAAGTGGACATGTGGATTGCTGGTGTTGGGCATGGATGATGACCTACCATGTGCCACCAGTCAGCACTCTTGCGGCAGCAACAAACACATTTGGACAACTGAATTTGTTATGATTGTTCCACAGGAAAGGCAAACTATTGCAATTATATAGTCTCCAGCAAAAGCTGGTCGTGAAGGTCCATTCTCCCCTTCCATGCGCTGGAGTTCGTCTGAAACAGATAGGGGCGAGATCGACCTCATATGGTGATGCTCATGACTCATATCTATTCATGCATCGAGCTCCCTAATTACTCGTATGACCTGCTGAAATTGACGGAGTTGAGCTCCTTTATTTCATTTTTGTGAGCCGCAAAGGCCAGGTTATTGATACTGAGAGTTACTGTGCATCTTCCATCGGCTTGAACATGTGACTTTGCTCAGGAGGGCTGGGACACCACGGGTATTCCCAGCATTCCCGGGAGGACCGACATTTCTTGAGTCTCCGAGGCTTAACTTGGGGTGTCTTGGGGGTCGTTGTGCGCAAAGCCCCAAACATGTAGATTCCTACAAAGAATCACTGCAGTCACTGCATGCGCTGCATGCCACCCCGTGCCACTCCAATGTTTAGAGAAGATTCAATCCTTTTCATGCTGGGTTCTCTTATGTTCTTTTCAACCCCACCAACCGTGCTTGCTTCCTTTCTGCTGCTCCTGCTCCTGCAGACCCCACCCGTGAGTTTCACCGCGTATGTTTTGACCAATGTGGCACATTGTGGCACCATGCGGAGCCTTTTCCTCCAACACCAGGAGCTACTAGGAACAAAGGGCATCGCTACAAGGAGCAAGGACGCTACTCGTAGCTCCTGGCCTTACTGCTAGGAACAAGAAACTACTAGGAACACCAGGAGCTTGCCGGGTGACCGAATCCAGAAGATGGGCACAGCGTCTTGGCACCACCGCGGGCAGTTTCCGTTGGGTGTGGCACTGTTGCGACGAACACGGGCAGGTGTTCATGCCATGTTGGTCTGGAACTGGACTCTATGGGGGTATGTCAACGGGATTTCACCGGGTATGTGCCTTTGTGTTCCCCAATGATATGTTGCTTTGCTGTGAGGTTAACAGTTTATACAACATGTTGGTCTTTGCTGGAGATCAGCGTAGTGTCAGCCCAAGAGCAGGCTATTGTTGGAGTAGACTAGACTCAAAGAAGGTTAATCCACTCACTCTGAATGTGGAATTGATGTCTCCCGTGAACGATGTGTGTATGTGTGACATTCGCTCGACTGATTGGTGGCAGAACCTGGGGCTTTTAGAAGCATTCAGCAAGAGACATCAGACATGTAGTCGAAGAATGTCGAAGATTCATGCTGTGAAGAGGAATTCGTGGCAGGTTCGCTGAACGAGTTACAGTCATAAAGGCTGCTTGGCCAATGGGCGATCTGACTAACAATCCGGAGATCATATAGACCCGCCAAAGGGACATAGACCTCCAAAGGTTGATTGGGATCGAAACGCTGCAACTCCTGATAAGCGTAGATCATACAACAGTGCCAAACTGTCGATCTGTGAGTAGCCAACCCTGGAGTTCCATCGAATTTGGGACCCCAAGTGAGTGGAGAACGGGCACCCCGACTTCATGGATAGCACCCCTTCGGAACTCCTGGAACACTGACATTTGTTAGTCAGTTCTGTGATCTTTGGTGACCTTCCACGGTAAAGATTCCTCGGTCGGCCAAATGAAACGCTTGTGATGCATAGACGACGTGTAACATGTGGCCAACATGTAGCAAGATCTGCGGATCAAATCCATCTCCGACGTATAGGCAGTAAGTAAGTACTACGATTGGCGCCTCTACGTGTCTTCGTGACCCGCCCGACTCATCCTCAGAAAACCCCAGCCTTCGTCACTGGAACTGAGCCAAACGAGTCCAAGAATCCAAGAATTGAGGGGAGATACCTGAAAGCCTTGGCCAAGCCCGAGCCGAAGCCGAAGTACAAGGAGGGGTCCTAGCTGATTGGTCATAGAGGTTGATGGGGCAGCTTTTGGAAGAGGTTTAGGGAGACTACGTTCTATACAGTAGATGTTTTTGTTTATTTTTTTCTTGAACAGTCACTGCACAAGCTTATGAACAAGAACAAAAAACATTGGGTATATTTAGGTGACTTGCAAAGGGCTGTCGCGGCGACGAAGCTTGCATGATATCATGTTGACCAGGTATATGAACGGATATGGACCCTTTGCTTGGCAGGAAAGCCACATCTATTGCAGAATCGAGGTGATTCGAGTGAAGTGGGAAGGTGTACGCGAGGTACCTACTGTAAGGGTTTGACTTCGGAGGGCTTCTGGAGGCAAGGTGTTGGTGACCAAGTCAGGCAAGACTTGTTTGAGAGCTGTGGAAGGCTAGCAACGAAGATGTCAAAATGCAGGACCCTGGCACATTGGCACCCAACCATCTCAAACTTAGTATGTTTTGGTTATGGGTAGGCATCGCCGCCCACCAAGAATGCAGCGTTTGCTTTGGCATGGTGGGACGCCCTGCGGAATGGCTCAAAGTAGTATGGAAAAATTCGGGAGTAGTACCGAATGACTGCAAAGTTTTGGCAGATGTTGAAGCCTGCCTGGCCCTGGTTCCCAATCCAGGATGCCACTCCTCTTAGGAGCGCGTGCTCGCGAAGAGCCGATCAGAGCCGCAGCTGGCGGTGCGCGGGGGGTCCGAAGCGGAGCTCCCTGGTGCCCAGAACAGGTAGACACTGGAATCTGAGGAAGTTATGGTGTTGCCAGGTCACCACCCATCCAGGCAGATGCCCCAGCGGGTTGGCTGGGGGGCGATTTGGTCCATGTTCTAAAGAAAGCTGGACCAGAGGGACCGGAGGTCGGTGAAATGTCGGCAATGACGCCAGCTGACCCAAAGCAACACAACTGTAGATCAGAACAAGATCAAGTGTCGTGCTCATGAAACGAAAGGATCAATATGAGCAATCAGTCACAGCCGACCACAGAAGCATAGTGGGAGCATGAGGGAGCATTTCTTTGGAAGTGAAACCAAACCAGTGCAAGGGGTACATCATGGTACATCGCTCCTTGACATGTGGAATGTGTATGCTGTGTATGTGTTTTTCCTGAAAGCAACAGCGCGATGTGGTCCACAACATGGTTCCAGTGATAATCCTTTCCTGTTGGAACCTCCCAAACCAAACTTGCGGACTCGCCAGGCTCGCAAGGTGGGCGATGAGCCCGGAGGCGACATGGCCAAAACGGAGTTCGCGCTTGTTTCATACGCAGTGTCCAATAACTGCTGCAGGAAGTGGTGGGACGTGGTTTTTGTATGTTGTTGTGAAACTTGACTTCTGGGTGCACAATAGTTGTTCACTGAATTGTGTGTGGTGAAATCGAATTGTCAAAGAAGATGAGAGGGGTTAGGGAAAAGGGTGTGGGACCCTCCTGTTCTGAGTTTCTTGGTGGTAAACTGTAGAAGGCACATAGGCATATCCTAGTGCATATCCTTTGAGCAGAAAGCAGAGGGGAATGAGAGAAGCTGGGAGAGATATGCCAGCTATGTCATAGCCTTCAGTTGTTCAGATTGACATGTTTGGACGCGTGACGCGTGTGCATCTTTCTGAAGAAGGGTGAAACTGATAATAGCAAGATGAGCCGGTCGCTCAGGTGACATTGATACGTTCTTCCAGGACAGCGACACCGAAATCGGAGAATGGCTGTCGTGGGATCGGCCCAAAGAGCCAAACCGGAAAGTAGCGATGCCCTTTGTTCCTAGTAGCGTCCTTGTTACTAGTAGTAAGGCCAGGAGCCCCTAGTAGCGTACATGTTACTAGTAGTAAGGCCAGGAGCCCCTAGTAGCGTCCTTGCTC